CAAAATTAAGGTGCTATTTTTTCTGTAAATTTGTCTCTTAATCAGAAACTGTCTTATGGTCATGCTCTTATCTTCACAGGTGTGTCACCATAGCGACTGTCAGGAACAAAATGGCCACAAGCCGCTGATGCTGTGTGCAGAGTGCGACAAAACCCTCCATGAGTCTGGGAGTCACGAGGGGCATCTACGATTCGATTTGCCACACAGGGCTAAAGGTAACATTTAAGAGGGCTTAAATGAAGTTTATACATGCTGAATTAAATTTATGAATGATGGAAAAGTATCCATTTTTTTATCTTGTATAGAAATGTTTCAACTGCTCTTTCAATTTAATTCTAATTAGCTTGCATGTTCATTTTAGAAAAATAATATTTGTTGGCATAAGCACATAGTTTGGGACGAATTTAATTTTTTTTGTTTCCAGCCTTTACCATCAGATTCCCAAGTAAAAGTATAATAAACATGTAATTTGAAATAGTGTAATATCATTTTTTTGTCTCGAATTCCAAGATAATAACATTATTTACATGTAATTGGAAGTAATATGATATGATAAGTAATATGATATGATATGATATTTCTCCAGTCTTTTTCTCCGGACTCCCAGATAATAACATAATTTATATGTAGTTTGTATTAATATGATATCTTGTTTATTTTTCTCTCCAGTCTTTTCCTCCAAAATCAAGATTATTTAATAACATCATTTACATGTAATAAAAACTAAATGACACTTCGTTTATTTTTCTCTCCAGTTTTCACCTCGGGGTTCCCTCACGACCTCTCCAGTCACTCTCTGCCTGCGGAAGTCACCTACCTAGAAGAGGAGGAGGGGGAGGATGAACCGGACACCCCAGTGACCAGTGTCCAGAGGAACGACCAGGGCATCAGACAGGTGTCTGCTGGTACCAGTAAACTGCAGGAGGGGAGCACCAATGGTCAGAGCTCAGTGGACATTGAAGATGAAGGGGGAGGAAGGATCAGTTATGAGAGGAAAGGATCACTGGACAGTAGAAATGTGGGGTAGGTGATATCAGGTGAAGTGGGCTAAGGTGGTTCGGTGAGTGGGTGGGGTTAAAGTAACCAGTGTCTTGGTCATTAAGCTTTATCAAATGTCATCTAAGCTCTGTGTCATTTTTCTGGATGGTTCAGCGAAGTGGGTGAAAAGGTTAATGTTTTTTTTCCTAGCAAAGTAACCTCTATCCCTCCCTCCCTCCTTTCTGAAATGGCTGACTACAGGGGTGGACATACAAAATGACTTGTTAGATTTGTTAGATTTGAGTGCCATTTTGATCTATGTTGGACTAGAGGGAATCACCCAGCAAAAGCATCTGTTATGTCTCTTTCTCTGATAGATATAGATCTACAGAAAGAACTGTCATGCATCAACCCCACATTGAATTAAATTTATGCACGTGCTCAACAGTTCAGAGCAGCCCCCAATAATTACCTTTAATCAACCACTGTGGTGGAAGGACCAGACTACTGTTGAAAGTGAACAAGAATCCAAAACTTCTCTCCTTCTTCCAGGGACCAATCACAACAGTCATATGGTTCCTTGCCGAGAATAAAACGCAAGAAAGTTGTGAAGAAGAAGTTTCATAATAACGAGGTAAAGATTTGTATAATATTGTTCATTTTGGCTTAATTTACGTTTTACAGCACTGTCATGTTTAAACTCCCAAATATTTAGTACTTTTGGAGAATTAGTTTTTCTTTTTAAAAAATCAAGACTTAGTAGTGCTATTATTATTTCAGTGTGAAATGTGTTGTTTTAATTGGTATTATCAACTGTAATTAAAGTAATTTCTCACTAATTTTAGAACGGAATCGATTATTTGCAATCAGCAAAATTATGATCTATGTATAATTGCTTGAACTGTGACAGAAAAATTAAGAGTAATGAGTTGGGTACAGAGCAAAATATTATACTTCTGATCCAACAAAGTTATAAATCTTGAAATGATAGAATATTTGAAATTTATGAGGAATTACTGCTTATTCAAATGTTTTTGTATTGTCTTTATTTAAAAAATGATTACTAACTTATTTTATAACAGTATTATAGAAATAATGCCCATAAGATATATCTCTTTTAAATTATTTTTGTAACTAAAATGTAAGGCAACCAAATGATTTCTCATGAAATATTTGAAATGTAAATATTATAGATATGACTTTATATGGAAATCTGTATTGCCATCTTTAATGCTATCCATTAATGGACATAATTAGACAATATAGATTCACTTAAATTTTTCCCAGTAATTACATCTTAATATAAATACTAAATTACATTTTAATATAATACTAAATTAATCTTGCCACTCAGAAACTGGATTATGCAGATCCTCCACAAGTTTGTAGCATTATTTGCATGCATTCATGGGGCCTGTTCAGACAGAGACCACTGGACTGGAAATCAGACTAACTCATGTTAGATATTAACAATATAATGGAGAAAGTTCATGTATATTTCCAGTCCAAAATGGTCATTGTCTGAGCAGACTCTTAGGTTCACTTCCTGTTAAAATGTGACACTTGGTTCACCTCAAAAATGCACATGCTGTTTTTTATGTATTAAGATTCTTTGCCCTATTTTTAAAGACAATTGTTATATTATGGTTGTACTGAATTACATTTGCGGTGAGCATTTTTATGTCACATTTACCTTGAAGCTCAACCTAGCTCTTTTTTCTTTCTAGAAATGTTACTTAAGACCTCAAATACAGTGTGGAGTGCATGTTCTGCCTTTAGAATTCTAACAACTGAAAATTTGAGAAAAATATTAATTTTGTTGATCTTCTCACTTGTTTGCTTAATGGTCTATGATATTTTTTAGATCCATGATTATTGCAAATTAGTTCATTCTTGCTTTCTATTGGTTTCAGTAATTATTTCTGCATGATCAAATTTTCTTAAATTCTGTTGTATTTAGGTGATGGTAGTGTCGAGTTATTACACCAGAAGATGCCTATTAAAAATTGGATGTTTTCCTTTCGCCTGATTCTAGATTAACAATGTTTCAACATTATTTTCTCTCTCTCTCTTTACAAGGTCAAGGTCATCTCTTTACATTTCTGAATGTCATCTTTGCAATGCTTTACCAGTACCCTAGCATGGTTCGATTGATATGTAGAAAATAGCGAAGAAAGTCAATTTGTAGTGATTGATAACAATAAAATGCTTCAGTATTATCTAACAAATCTGAACATTAGATATGCACTTAATAAGATAGGAAAGTGGAATAGCCATTTGTGGTTGGTTATCAATTAATATATGTGGAAGGATGGGACCATTTGAGAATTAACTGTTTTGGTATACTTATATCAATTTTCTTATTCATTTATCAACTTCTGCTATGATTGATGAAAACAGTTACTTTGAGCTATACCTGAAGATAAAGATGAGCTTCAAAACTTTCAGACCTATTCTTTAGTAACTTGGTATCAAGTATATACATTATACTAGTATGTCTGGGTCTGCAGGATAGTGGAAAATTACTAAAAGGTTTTGGTTTTAACTGGTATTGGTCTAGTGTGTGATTTACTATATTTATTGCAATTTGTATCAATTATATTAGGAGTTGAGCAAAGCAAAGCAATCGGAAACTCTGCATCCCCTCAAATTTGCCCTGCATTCCCTAGTAGCGAACTCTTCACAGTTCGCATTGGAGGTAATTGTATACATTACGTACTATAAAATTGATATACTGCATGCTGTAGAGAGTGGAGCTCGGAGTGAGGATGGATTCACTTCTTTATGTTCCTCTTCTGCTTTTAGTACAACAAGAAAATGGTTTCATAAAAAACTGCACAGATTTCCTGATACTTACTTTTTTTTTTTACTCTCTCACAAATTAGTGCCTAGAGTTATGGACCTATTTGTATATTAATTCCATGGATATTTTCAAATTTATTATTTATGCATGCGGGTATTCATTTAAGTGAGCAAAAGGATGAGGAATGTCGATAAAAGAACTTTTTCTATGATGACCAAAGCTAGTCACTTATGAGGTGGCTTTTTAGAGGTGTACTTCTATGAAACTTGCCAGTTGCCAATGATATTAGGCTCAATCACATTTTAGAAATTTGAAACAAATGAAGTTATTGTAGCAAAATAAGACATTTTTAGACATTAGTATTGTGACATTAGCTGTATTTTTGCTGTGTATTTTTTTTTTGCATTTCGATAAACTTTTTCATGACTGCCCTCTACGCAGTTATGCCTGCCTTTGTTCCAAGTCATAAAATTCCTTACCGTATGATTTTGTGTTGGCTGTGACATTAGAAAATCATGTTATTTGTGCACTATGAACATTTTTGTGCCATTTCAAGACAGGATTGCCTTTTATTTAGTATTTGTTAATGTTGCAATGTGTTTTCATGTGAAGTATTTTTAAATGCATGTTAAAGTCCACTTGGTAACCAGGGGCAACACAATTTACAGTGCAGCTGTAAATTAGATTTTGTATACATTTTTAGGTAGTGAATTGATGTAATGAAAAATGTAGTCTTTTATTAGATATGAATTCCATATTAGACTGATAATATTACAACTATGTAGTCTTGCAACTGTTTATTTTCATGTTAAAACAGAACCATGCCAAGCCTGTATTTGACATTATTCGAGTGCTGTGAAGATTTTAGTTGGTGGATGTTACAAACTAACTTAATTTATTATTATTACCCATCATGCAACAGATGTCCAGTAATTTGGCATCATCGCGGAGCAAGAGCCTTGGGGCGGAGGATTTTTTAAAGCATGCAGTTCAGGGCGATGAGGGGTTTAATTATAAAATTCCAAAAAAACCTGCCTCTCTCCGTCAAAGAAGCCGAGGTGGCAAGTCAAAAGACTGGGATAAAAAGGTGTTTAAATTCTAGGTTTTTGGTGGTGTAGTTGCTTCCATGTTTCAGTGTTGATTTTGATTTTTTGGGTTTATTAGTTTTTTCTTTTTGTTTTTAAATGTTAGTTCTTTATGGATACATTTTAGGATTTGGAATTATGTGGGTTTCTTGCAGCTATTGTATTTTTGTGCCTCTTTACGTCTTTCCTTACCTCATTGGTTTTTTTGGCAGAAAAACTTAAAAGAGATTAGGTTGGTTTTTATATGTGTTGGGTTTATCGTATTTGTGTGTTGATGTTCTTGCAGAACATTAGTGTCTTAAAAACCTAGAGATAGCTATTGTATTTAGGCACTTGTTATTATTTTCATTATTTGTTTTCTCTGTATGACTTCAGCTGATTTTCATAGGCCTTTCAACATCATTATGTGTAATAGTAAAAAAGTTCAATGTTACTTCACCTTCTTAATCCAGTGTCTTTTATGAGAACATAGTTGCAACAAGGAGATGAGATGCTTACTTTCAGTGTGTTTTTTTTTCCCTAATTTTGGCTAATTTCACATCCGTGGTCTTTCTTTTACTTAGCTATGAAACTAACCCTTTATGTATTAATCAATATCTTAACATGTCATATATGTGGGTGTTTTGTCAATCTTCCTATAGGAGCCTATGTTTGAAGTGATATGATCACTTGTTATCATCTCTATTTCAAATATAACCTCCTATATTAGATTTAATTATAATTTCAGCTTTACCTTAGTTTAATACAACTGGTTGGATCAAAACTTTTATTTGTTAACATACATGTTAATGTGTGTGAATTGTTTTCTTTCATTAGGATAGATGTAGAAATTTAATATTCTTGTAGTGTAGGTCTGACATACCGTTTTAGTATAGAACTAAGTAACTGTTAGATCTCTCTTGCTCTTAGTCTGTGTCTAGGGTGAAAAGAGTGTAGAGTGGGTGATGGAGAGGTTCAATGTGGTAATTGAGACATTAGGTTGTGTTGGGATGAGACTGTACCACCTAATGTGTTAGTTGAGACAATCATTGTGTTTGGATGAGACCAGTATTTGTGTTAACAAATTGTGTTTGATGATAAAGCAGTTCATTTGTAGATATAAGGTCATGAGTATTTTAATGTAAGACTCATCCTAAGCTTAGCATCCATGAATGATATTTAAAATGCGAAGTTCAAGAATTGAGATGGAAGTATTTTACTACGATTTATATGCTTTCAGAATTTGAAGTACTTTTTTTATTGTAAAATCACATATTCAACGCTTTCTGTAGATTCTACGCATATGACACCATTCTGGTCATTTGAATAAATTTAGGATTTTTAAACTAAGAAAACTTGATATAACTTTCCATATCTGATTTATTTCCAGCATTCCATCAGTCGAGATTGTTTCACTTTGAAGTTTGACATGTTTGAGGAGTTAGACATTGAAATAGTCACAGCAGTGGCAGGCGTGACACTCAGGTAAGACATGGATGTCCATGGCAGCTAAATCTGATGAAACCCTTTATGGTTTTCTTTTTGAAACAAATGAGAACAAATTATTTTTGTCAGAAGGTTAGGCAATGGATGCATCCTTATAATTTGAGGAAAATGCAATAACATTTTAGATGAAGTGTTAGTGAGTGTCTCTTTGGACAATAGTAGAGTGTGCCACCATGAATATTTTTAGTATAGTTGCCCAAGTAGATGTTGATTTGGAGCAGGTTGATCAAAGCGTATAAACTACTCGAGGTTAAAGGAAAAGCAGGAATGAATCATAGTGAAATTGGTCAAAAGATATATTAGATACTTAACAGTGCATTCATGTATTATAATAGAGACTGAACTGTAAGTAACACATTTTACAAATTTGATACTTTGTTGAATATTTCCTATTCTAGTAAGAACAAAATTTTGATGATTTATTTTCTTTGAATTAAAGGGATGCCTTGTTGCCTTTATGTGAAAAGCGAGCGATCATTGTGGACAAGCTGAACGTGTTCATAGACGCCTCTCACACCCCTCTGAAACTCGAATTTGATACATTCCATCTAGGAGGGACCCAGCTCACGGTGAAAGGTAGGGACTGGTTTGTCTTGTTTTCAGCTCACCGTGGTGTTGTGTAATATCGTATCATAGGGGAAACTGTATCTGGCTCCTATGTGACAGTAGCGGGAATTTGCGAAAAGGACAGTGGTCAGATTATTTTCAAGCCTTATATGTTGTAGAAATGCTGCTGGTGACATACGCTATGAAGCTGTGACAGTTCCACTTTTATTTCAGTTTCAGCTACCATCCTGTGAAGAAGCATGTGTTATCAATTCATTGATTGATTGATTATTGTTCTGTTTGATTCTCTATGTAATATAATAAATGAAACACAAATATATTGCAGCTTTGTAGTACCTGAACATGAACTCACAGTTGCTGACTCTAAACACTCTATGTGCTGCATAGGGTGGACACTGTGACCTTTTGTTTCCAGCTGTTATTCTACCATTGCTAAGAAATTAGACAATAGTTCTACACATTCACATTTTGAGAAATGTCATATTGGCAAAGATGTCATGGTGTGAACATTCCATCAACTGTATAAAACTGTATGAAATGACTTAGTTGAGCCACTTGTATAGGGTTGTTATGACAAATATTTATTGTAATAAATAATTTACTTTCAGTCATTTACCTATTGTAACAGTCACCATTTGTCAATTGCTGTTCCTAGTCTTTACATAGTAATGTTTTCCATTATTGATAATAGCACACACATTATCAGGAATTGCCACATTAAGGGTGCATTCCCAGAGATTTAGATCGATCCAGAGATTTAGATTTAGATCGACCTAACTCCCTGGGGGTTACGCTAAATTGCAGTCAGCCGAGCGCGCAACAAAGTTAATTACCCCCTTACATCTTTTAGTAGGTGGGACAGATGCTTAAGCCGGCTAAGCTGACAGTAATCTAGTGAGACTCCCCACAGGGATAGATCAATCTAAAATCTATGGGAATGGGGTCTAAGTTGGATAAATTAGACTGCTTCATGGTTGATGGTCTGAAAATGTTTCAACATGTTTGATAAATGGACCATGTCCCCTTTATGGTTTGTTGATTGATGCTTTTTGTGAGTTTAACAAGATGCAGTGTTGGGGATGTGTTTGATATTTTTATTGTCATATTAACATGGATTTTTTGTACAAGAATTAACTTCTAATAAAGTGTGGTAGGTATTAATTGGGCGGGTCTCATCAAGCACCCCTTTGTCAGCATTTGCTAAGTAACACAAGAATGATACAGAGAATGGCTGGTACAGAGATATTTTCTGACAGTCTTTCAAATGACCTTTGTTGATCCATCTGACATAAAAAAATTAGATACCTGTCAATGTTAACTTGAAAATCTGGCTGTCTTGCGGGAGACCCAGAAGATGGCCCTTCATTGTAAAAGAAACTTCAGAAAGGAAATTGCTGTTTTATTGTTAATGAACACTAAAACTTCAGATCTTTCTTAATGTCTTTATTCTAACTTCTTTACATCAGTAGCTGAAAAAAACTAGCAAGGTTAAAGAAAAATAACAACACTTGCTCCAAGTAAACAAAAGTTTATATCTAAATGATAACCGCAAAACTTGGCAAAGATGCTTTCTTTCAGACATTAAATAAGTAGATGTCTGAAAAAGTCTGAAAAAAAGAGACCTGAAAGACCTTATGCCAATACAAAGAAAAGTGTTATCAAAATTATTGCTGGAGAATTAGTCTGGTCATGTCATGCATCTGTATGTTTCAGCATTTTACAAATATCTCTATGCTGACCTTGAATATTTTTTGCATAGGTTATTCACCATAATTTGGTCATAGCACAAGCCTGGTAGATGGTAGGCTGTAACGAGATGCCACAGCCAGAATATGAGGGAGTTTTTTCCCCATGATATCTGCTGTAATCTGCATAACTTAGCTGTTGGAACCTGTTGGAACTTGTTAGAAGGGGTTAAACTGATCTAGTTGCAGATAGCAGAAAGGCTAAGTGAAATTTTTGAACTGTGATATTTATCTCCTTGCATTTCACCTGTTGATTTGAGAAGCCATTTGACAGGTGCTTTCTGAGGGTGGGCTGTGGGAACATTTCTCTGTCATATTAAATAGATATTACTTGAAGGCACTGCTAGACGTTGATTATGAGTTAACAATGTTTTATTTTGTTTTTTCCCCCTTGAGTAGGTAGCACAACAACATTCCTGTTATTATACTTAATATTAACTGATGCTTCTCATTTGTTTTTACCCACTGTGAGAATTTGTTATGAATACAAATATTATTTGAGGAAAAGAACAACATCACACGCATAAACCAGGTCCAGATATAAAAGATAATCTTTGAGATTTCTCCAGTTCAGTTTTGTTTTTTGAAGTAAGAAAAAAAATTGATGTCTATAATTACCATGCATTTTTGCATGTTCTTCATACCAGCAGTAGCCTGTGTAGGCAGAGCATGTCTGAATTGTGACCTGCACTATGGCGGCCAAGATCATAGTGATTATCTGGTCAAAGTGGATTATGTGAGCATTATTGAGTGGCTGCTGGCACATCATTAGTCTCTTCAAACATATTGATTGTGACCTAAAATGATTGAAAATGGAATAGATTCATGTATGGAGTGTTTTTGCAGTGGCTTCATGATTTTGTACCAGGTTATTGAGAGAGAGAGAGAGAGAGAGAGCTGATGTAGCATTGAAATGTACAGTATATGGTTGATGAATTCACATTAGCATACTACATTGATGTTATAAATTAGTTTCTCCTATAGGATTTTGTTTTGTTAAGTAAATAAGAATGTCTTTGAGGTGGACTGTTTGACATGTAGATTAAATGTGTACTGAGTAAATTTTTCAAAAATTGCATTTGGTGACAAGTTACGTCCTGGCTTCAGGGTCAGAAGACAACAACGCACATCTATTCATCACTATAACCATGGCAACCAGCTGATCAGAGAAAAATAATGATGACATCAAAGTTGGCCAAGATCAGATGACATGTCACTGTGAAGCCAGCTCATATCTCTAAGCAGGAAATGTCACATTATGAACTCTGCCTTGGGTTGATTTCATACTACAACAGCCATGTGCCTGAGGCTACTTCAAGGTCGTGACAGCAATTAGCTGCTTACTATACCTGACAGAAGGGCTGAAAAACAGTAATAGGAATTAGACAAGTTGGAGCTAATTAGCTTGGAGGTCTGTTTATGTTTTTTAAGCGACACCACATTGGAATAAACATGGGCAATGTTATCAAAAGGATACTGTCACATGTTTGACTGTGTGATCATGGTGTAATTTAGCAATTTTTCTGTCAGAATGGAAATTTTCTGAGGTAGCCTTCATTGAGGCTGTTGACAATGTGTGATGTTATATGCATCAGACCAGATAATTTGTCAAAATCTGTATGAGGTTGGGCTAACCTTTCAGCTGCAATAAGGGTGACACTGTATGTTGTCCAAAAAGTAATACTAAAGCAACATGCAAAACCTTCGTAATGTTTAGCAGTAGACTGGAATTTGACAAAACTTACAAAAACACAACCAGCTTTTATTTTGTATGTATGACTTTATGAAGCTTAGCAGGATACCATCGTCTGTATAGGTAACACAGTCAGTCATAAAAGAAAAAATATAATTTATGTGGATATAATTATATTATAAATATATATAATAATCACACAATAATCTAATGATTAGCCAGTGAGTAACTGGGGTCAGCTATGTCACATGGACTAATTAGGGACAATTAAGCCAAGGGCATGCTGTTGACATTAAATATTTAATCATATCATTTTAAAACAATCCTGGTCAGACTTTGGGAATGTGGACACGGTATAAATCCCAAGTTAAAAGATCTGATATATATATATTACAACCCACTGCCCACACTAATAGGACATCCAGCTAGGTTGTGTTTAAAAATGTCGCCAACTTTGAAGCTAGGTACTGAGTGTCTGTCTGGTCAGTTTTATCTTGTTATCAGAACATAAGAGGTAAACGGGAACAACTTGATATCGAATTGGCCGAAGATAAAACTTTGTCTTTATGAATGGTCAAGTTTATAACATAGTTTAAGTACACCCCTTGCAGTTGTCAAAATGGAAGTGCACCCTCCTGTGAGATACATACGTCCAGTATTATTGCAGAGACTCACTGACACCAGCCAGAAAGCCATGGTAAAGGTGGAATCACGTAGAGGCAGAAAGTGATAGGTGTGTCGCGAGATGTCGACCAGGATGTCAACCGTGATGTCACCCTGCCCTGAAGACCTGAAACAGAGGACGTCATTGGCACGTTAGATAACCATTGTTCCTGGTTGCGGTCAGCGAAGCTGAGAGTAATTCAGTAAATCATCAGAGTAATTTTTGCCTGTAAGACAGTTGTCCATGAAATAAGCCACTCATTACTACTAGCATAGTCAAGGGAGACTCAATAGACAAGATAATGTGGAATTGTTGAGTGTAGTAAAAATTGCATCACTCAAATAACCACTGCAGCGTCTACGTCAGTGCTAGCAGTCCATGCTGTCATGGCTGTAAGTATTCAGGAGATAGTCATTGAGATAACAACTTTCTGAGAAAAATCTGCAGACCTTAATTCAAGCTCAGTAAAGAAGATGTTTCACAACCACGCACACACACAGTGGAATGTCATAAACCAGTTGCACCCAAAAAAGGTACAGCTTATTTGAATACCATGCAGTAAGCCGTTGATGAGAACTGAACTATCATTATCAGCCTCTAATAAGTCATCTTCTTCAACAGTAACAGTAGAGCATTGAGAACTGAAATACAATGAATGCAGCCCTATGCAATTAGCATCAGTCACTTGGCTATGTGGACTGTAGGTATCCAGACGTGGCGGCGAGTCATATATAGGGGAGGATCAAGGTAATTCCTGAGTGGCACCTGTTCATCAACCTGTCAACTGGGAGATGATTTCATCACACTGGGGCCCACAATTTGGCAGTGTGAGGTAGAGGCACCATACGGGTAATGTTCTTTTGGTCCTGATTACCTGATTACACAGAGGGAAGTCACTTAGGCAGAA